AATATCAGCACAAGCTCTCCGCCTTCAGAAGAGTGTCATCCCATTTCCCCTGGCACAGAGAGCTTCTTCCAGCTCCTCAGCCCCAGTCCCTGACTGCCCACCACGTAAGAAACAAGCAATAGACCACTCTGGTGTTTGGTGAAGAGGATCCTGAAGCATGTACTCAAGGGAAGTTAAACTGAGACAGCAAGAGATGGGAGCACACTTCTTTCTACAGATTCATGCAGGAATCTGGTCTTTACCTGCAGAGCTTGCCTACAGAGGATTACAAGTGGCAGCACCGTTACCAGGACTCCCTACACATTCTCAACACACACACATTTGAACAGGGAGGAAACCTGTAGTGCCACACAATTGCCTCCACTTTACCATATTGAGCACAGAACCTTTGGGACAGGAGGAAAGCAAGCACATGTAACTCATCTACTCAGAAAGCAAGATTACCAACCTTCAGAAGCTTCAGCGTTGTAGGGGTACGTGGCAATAGCTGAAAAAGCTGGCAGGGTGCAGTAGCAGCTGTAAGAACCACCCTCTAAGCAGGGATTCCCATCTTGAGGTGCACAGAGCACATCCCAGCTCTGCTTAAGGGTTTTGCACCTTGCTGTCACCTGAAAACCAGAAGTCACATGAAGAGTTACTGGACAGAAGAGCAATGGCAACAGGCCCTTGCACAGCCAGGAGCATTATAAATCAGCAGCAGCACCATCTCACGCCTTCATTCTGCCCCTTTTCCCCAGCTTGCTACCCAGCACAGCTCAGTGCTATTTAAGGCTACCCAACCAGCTCCTGGGAAATGATCCATGTGCTGCATATTCCTAGACCCAGAGCACTTCTGCATCCCATAGCACATGCCCCACCCACACAAGGGCCATACCCAGAAGTGCTGGCAGAGCCACCATGCTCCATTACAACACGTGCAAGTCCTCACACCAACTCTTTAGCAGGAGTTGGGAGAGGAGCACAAGTCCCCTGGCTCCCTCTCAAACGAAGGCAGTAGCAAGTGTTGAACTTGTACGGCAGTGAGGAGATTAACTATCACGTTCAGTAACCTGAGCACTGAAACATACCCTGGGCAGTTTGGAGGTGGGTCAGGAGTCGGTCCAGATAGGCACACAGCCCAGAGACAAGATAAAGGCAGAGAGGGGGACAGAGAGAGCCACTTAAACCACGGGGAGCAGAGCAGCCCACACATACCCCTCTGGCTCACATAGGGCTGAGCACCCTTTACCTGCCACAGCAGATGGACAAGCATCTTCAAGCCATGGTAAAACTTCCCAACACATCTTCCTGATTTATCTGATCTGCTTTCTGCTTCACAAAGCAACAAATAAATGAGAGTGCAGCGTACAGCTCCCACTGCATCCCTCTAATCTCAGCAAGATCCCGTACCACAGCACACAGGGAACAAGGTACACAACATCAGTCTGAAAAAGGGCCAGTAGCACTGTAGCACAACAGCTGCTACCTAAGCAGTAAAACCAAGCAACTCTGGTGGAGAAACACAGCACGGGTGCTCAGCAAAACCCTCCTGCAGCAACAAAGCCTCATACTACCTCTGCTCTGCAAGTCTCACACAGTATCAGCAGCTAAGAGCCAAGCCTCAGGCACCCACCTGGAAGAAGTAGCAGAAGCTGCCGAGAACAAAGCTGTGTAGTTCCAACAGCTGCGAGCTGGGCAACCAAAGGCACCTTCAGCAGAGGTGATTGTGAGCAGTGAGAGCTGGGCACATGTCTGCCAAACAAGCTGGATCCTCCCACCACCAAGAGCAAACTCCCTGTACAGGTGTGGCAATCCCAGACGGATGAGGTGGAGCCCACAGTGGCCATTGCTCAGCCAGGAATAGCCCTACAGCAGCACTGCTGCCTGAAGTTCCTAGAGCCATCCCAGTTTACCCCCCCAAACATCCTATTAACCCAGGCCACCAGAGAACTACAAACTACAAGTCCTGAAGTTTTTTCCAGCTGCATCACATAGTTATTAAAAGATACTGCCTCTCGCTCTCAGCCTTTAGCACAGGCTGATTTGGGATACAATGGGAGAGACTGCACATTGCTGATGAATCAGAGCAGGGAGTTATCCAAGCAGCAGCCCAGGGCTCTAAATGGCTTTCTGGAAGAGGCATCTGGAAGCAGGAGGCAGCCATGATCTCACAGCAAGGCTGTGCGCACATTGCCAGGCATGTTGTTCCTCCTGGGAAGCCAAGAAGAGGTGCCAAGTCTCAGCTAAGCTGGGAAGGGCAGCAGCACCATGATAGGGAACAGAAAGAAAATGCCTCCAAGTCAGAGGGCTCACTTAACCCCCCTTTCAGCTCGGCTGATTAGGGTTTTTCTTTCCAGTGGACCACCATTGACACTCTGGGAACACAGGAACCACACCACCACCGTCTCTGCTGGTGCAGCCTTTTGGTTCCCAGCAGGCTGAAAGGGAGCAGGGGACAAGCACACAAGCCACCCACATGGTCTGCTGCAGTTCTCTGCCCACCTCCTCATTTGGGCAGGAATTGGAGGCTCTCCTGAAAGGTGCCCCCACAGAGATGCTATGAGTGCATCAAGCCTTCCATTCTCGTCAGGGCTCATGTGTCAGGGACCAAAATAATCTCTGGAAACGAATCCCCACAAGACATTCGGAGCCAGCCACAACTTATCCCCAGCCATCCCAGAGGGCTGATAAGCTCACCCAAAAGCACATTACAGACATCACAGCATGAGAGCTGAGTGAGGCTGAAAGAGCATGCAGGGGAGACTGGGCCAGAAGGGCCACCCCACACCAGGATAAGAAGGATCTATGCCCCAAACTTCATGCTGCCAGGCTCCTTCACTGCTGGTGGGAGTGCAGCAGGAAGATATGGCTGGGAAGAACACCAACTTCCGCCAGGTACCAACCTCCAAAGGCACAACCATGCATCAGTACATTGAATCTATTCTGCCTTGTCCTGTATCCCAGCTCCAGTGCTGGGGAGCGCTGTCTCAGCCCCACAGCAATGCTTTGCCTGGAGTCAGCTGCCCCAGAAGTGGTGCAGTCTGGCAGCTCTGAGCTAAGAGCAAACTGCTGGCAGTCAAGCAAGCTGGACTTCAGCATGGCCCCCACTGATGAGCTGGCAAAGCATGTGCTTTTTGGGTTTGCTTCTTTTCCTGCCATTACTGCTGAGCCTGCATCCCTCGTCATTGGAGCATAGGAACCGTTTGGCCTCAGTCAGAGGATTTCCAGTAAGCACCAACCTCTGTCACTCCAACCAACAGTAAGTACAAGAACAGAGCTGTTCAGAGATCCTTCCTGGTAGTCAGGGCAGAAACTGCTCCTTAACCCATCCTTTCACCTTCTGCCCCCACAAGGGATGTTATAAACCAAAGCAATTTAAATCATTCCCAATCTCGTGGGCTCTCAGCAGCTCCTCCTGCAGCGAGTGCTCCCTTGTAGCTTATTTACCATAAAAAGGCACCACGATGGTACTCCAACTGTCCTCCAAATTCGCTCACTGCAGGAGGGAGACAGAAAGGCAGACAGGACAAGCAGGGGTGGGGCAGGGAGTGAATCCTCTGCCAAAGAGCCTCTCACTCAGGATGAGCTACTCTGTCTGGTGCCACCATTCAGAGTGGCTCAAGGACACGATGCATCAAGCTTCACCTCTGGCTGTGGACAAGGTGCCTCCAGCAGACTCCTCAGCAGCTGGCTCTCAAGTTGCTGTCTGTAAAGGCCAGACTGTCTCCTTGAAGGAGAGCAGCCCCAGCAGTCTGCACCGAATATGCCCCCAGAGTCATCAGCAGCATGCAGTGACCATGGATGAGCTGTCCCCGACCTGTCACAGGCTCCGGGTGCCACTTCACCCCACCTTGACACTCACGCCAACATCTCCACTGCTGCATTTCAGAGCAGCTCCAGGTAGCTCTGCATGTGAGCTGAAAGTTGGGTCTAATCCATGCAATTCAGACTGAAGCGGTTTGCTTAGTGCCGGGCTGTTTGCCAGCTGTATCTCGTGCCCTTTTTGAACTCAGCCTGCTGGAAAACAAACCCTCAGGGGAAGGGGGGAGAAGCAGAGAGATCAGAGAGGATAAAGTGCCTGCCCGTGCAATGGCAACGCTCTCGGTGGAGGCTGCGGGCACACACTGCATCCATTGTGCAGAGGTAACCGGACAGAAGGAAGGAGGGGCAGCACGGCAGGGCTCTGTTTGCTCCGGGGCAGCTGCAAGAGGCCATAAAACGCCTTCCTTACCCACACTGCGCACCTTCTGAAGTGCCCTGTGCCCGGCCAGGTCAGCGGGTCACACAGCCCGGGCCACGCAGACTCAGCACGGGGCCAAGGAGCACCAGTCAGGCAGGGATGGAGCACAGCAGGGCAGAAAACAGCTTCGGTCCCCCGTGCTGCAACAGGCTGCAGCCAGATGCACCCCGTACCTGAAGAACAGGGTCGGCACTTACACAAAGCCCACAGCGTGACCACAGTCACGCGGATCTCTCAGAGCCGCACCGCGTGGCTGCGGGCTGGCCCTAAGCACGTCCCCCGGCTCCACGAGGGCAAGCACACGTATTAGGAAGGGAACGCGAGGCTGCGGGGCACCCGTCCGTGCAGTACAGGCCCCCGGGCAGCGCTCATAGGCCCCACAGCAGCCGGACACCGCAGTTCCGACCCTCTGAAGCACGGACTGCTGCCGCCTCCAGAAACAAGCCTCCGACAGGTGCCCAAAGACGGGCGAGCCGAAGCGCTCCGCGGGCACGGCTCTCGTGGGAACCGCCTTCCCGATCCCGGCCGCGACAGGAACGCGTCCGTGAGATCCCTCCAGCGGCTGACAGGCCGGCCGCCGGCCTCCCACCCCTCCGTCCGCCGGCGCGCCCCTTCCCGGCCACAGCGCCCAGCCCGCCGCCGCACGCCGCGCCCCGCACCTGCTGTGCCGCCGCCGCCGTGCCTTTAAACCCCCGCCCCGGCGCCCGTCGGCCGCGCAGAGCGGGGCGGGTCGCGCGTGCGCGGTGTGGCGGCGGCCGGAAGCGCGGGGCCGTGCGGGAGCATGGCGGCAGCGGCGGCCCCGTCCCGCGGCGCGGTGCAGCGGCTGCGGCAGCTGTGCCAGCGCTACCAGGAGTACGTGCGGCGGCACCCGGCCGCCACCGCACAGCTGGAGGGCACCGTGCGCGGCCTCTCCTACCTGCTGCCAGGTGCGGATCGGCCCTCGCCCCGTGTCGGCGCCGCGTACGGCCCGGCGGCGCCGCGTCACGGCCGCGCTCCTCTCCTCTCCCCGCAGGTCGCTTCGCGGACGCCCACGAGCTATCGGAGCTCGGTACGTAGGGCCCGGGGCGGCGGGGGGGCGCGGTCCCGCGGCCGTCTGCGGCGCGCCCGTAACCCCGCGCCGTGTTCCCGCTGCAGTGTACTCCGCCTCCAACCTGCTGGTGCTGCTCAACGACTGGATCCTGCGCAAGGAGCTGCCCCGAGGCCTGCCGGGGGTAAGCGCGGGGGCAGGGCCCGCGGCCGCCGCCGTACGGCTGCCGAACGCTGGGCCGCCGGCCCGGAGCCGAGCGCTCCTGGGGTTCCGGGGATCGGGCCCCGACTTGCGCCCGGAACCGATCCGCTCAGCGACCGTGGCTGTCTGCGGAGCGCCGAAGCTCCGACCGAGCCTTTCTTTGCCTGCGGTGTTGAGCAAAGCGAAGGTGAAAGGAGCTGGCTGCCGCCTCTTTCGCCAGATCCCCAGGCCGGCTCCCGGCCCTCAGTTAGACCCTTTGGGGAAGGAGAAGGAGGGCTTCTCTTTTCCCAGACAGCCCTCTGCTGCACGCCTGCCTGCCCGCTGGGCCTGGATGTGGGTTGCTCGGTGTCAGTCCGCACAGGCGGCCCTGGCCGGAACACGGGGTATGTGACAGCCATCTGAGCAGAAGACTCGCTTCCCTTGGTGATAAAAGCTGAGTGTGGGGTGAGGTGAATTTCAGCTATATCTTCTTTGTGGGTGCTTTTCACGTAATATAGGCTGTACTTCATGGTGAACAGCACCGGCAATTTCTGTTGCAGAAAGAGTCCAGGCTGCTGTGGGCTTCATGCCTAGGATCCAGACTGATGCTATAAGTTTGTACTTGGCAGGCATTTGCTTCAGAGCAGCAGTGGACCCTGTGCTCCATCAGTGTACCCATCAGCTGTGCCCGGGGAAGAGGGTCATCAAGTGTCCCAGCTCTAGAAAGAGGAGGAGGAAAGTTCTGCCGTTGGATTTCAGGCACTGTGCGGCTACCCAGGAGACTGCTAGTTGCTTCACTTCAGATAGAAAGCAAACTGGAGTTCAGCTGTGATATTCCCCATTTCTGGAGTTGCAGCTCCATATGGTACAGTGATATCCAGGTCTGCTCCTGCTCAGAAGTAGGGAAACAGGCCTGCGTGTAGGCTCTGGCCGTAGGAGAGGAACCACTTCTTGTTTCTGAGGCTCTGAGTTCCAGGGCCACTGCTCCTTCAGCTCCGAGAATCCCACAAGACTAGGCTGTGCATCTTTCCCTTTCAACTTGCAAGCAGAACCTCCATCCTGTCCCCCTTTCCTGTGTTTTGCAGTCACTGCCCCAGCAGAAGCTGCTGACCTGGCTGAGCGTGCTAGAATGTGTGGAGGTCTTTGCAGAGATGGGGACAGCCAGGGTGTGGGGGGAGATGGGCCGATGGACCATCATTGTCCTCATCCAGCTGGCTAAGTAAGTGCCACAGGCGGTGGGGAAGGGGGCTGCATGTGCTTGGATGTGCAATCTGGAGGGGTCTTGGCATTACCCCAGGAAAAATCCTATGCAAGACTGAGCAGCCAGTCCCTGAGGCTGGGGGAGTTTGGAGCCTCCTGCAGTGTGGAGTACTGTGCTGCAGAAGGATGCCTCTCGCGTCTTCCCTGAGCAGACCTGAGTGTTTCCCTCTTCTGGGAATGTCATCTTTCGGGCACAGCACAACCCAGCTCCACAACTGGGTACTGAAGGCTTCCTGTGTGTCTGCCTGCAGGGCCATCCTCCGCCTCCTGCTGCTGCTGTGGTATAAAGCTGGCATCCAGACGTCTCCTCCTATAGTGCCGCTGAACAGGGAGCAGCAGCAGTCTCTCCACTCTGAAGGTGAGCTCTCTGTGCTGTCCTTAGTTTGGGAAATACTGTCTGAATTTTGGCTCAGACTGTGAGTCCACTGCTCTGATGGTTCTGGGTAATGCCAAGCAAATGTCTCTCTTCACCCTCTGAGAGCTCTGTAATGTTAGCACTTTCAGGATGGTCCACTTTGAACTAGATCAAACTTTTGGTCCAGTCTTCTTGCTGACAATATAGAGACCAATTGAGATACATTCCTTTAAAGCCTCACCCCTGTGGCTGTTTTCTCCTGCAGATGTGGAAGGCACCTCCTCAGGGAAAGATCAGACCTATGTTGGTAGGCGTTCCAGCCGTGTTGTGAGATCTCTCCAAAATAGTAAGTAGCTGAGCCTGTTTTCTGTGTTTGTCTGAGCTGCTTCTGTTCTGTGCCCTTGATGTATGGTCCTGTATGTGGGCAGTAAAGAGCAAAAAACCTGATTAGTTTGTATGGGGGTGTATCCTGCCAGTCACTGGGCCCCATGGGCAGGGAAATACTACAGCAATGGGAATTCTCACACATGGTGCAAGACCAGTGGTAGTTCTGCTTTGAGAAACATGAATCTTAAGAATATTTCTCCCTGCTGCCTCCCTTGTTCAGGCAAGCAGTGAGGGTGCTGTTTAGTGGCAGCAACAAGGAAGGTGCAGCCATAGTCTTGCTGCTTGTGCTTCTCTTCCAGCTCACCTACTTCACAGTGCAAAGAGAGATGAGCTTGACTGTAGGGAGGTACTTGTTATGTGAGTGACCTGATGTGCTTGTTTCAGCTCCTTCCCTGCAGTCCAGGCACTGGGGATCCCCCCAGCAGAGGGAGGAGACACAGAGCCGAAGAGCAGAGGAGATGAACCAGCCTCCCACTCCTCTGGGTCTCCAAGAAACCATCGCAGAATCGATCTATGTTACCCGTCCTCTGCTCCACTGTATCCTGCTCTGGCTACATGAGAGCAGGCTCTGTACCCCGGGTGCCAGCAGAGGGTGCTATGGGCTCATCTGCTGAGCCGTCGTGTAGGATCACCCCATACTTCTCCTGCTGCTGCTCTGCTTGTGCAGGGGCCTGGGAACTCCTCCATTGCATCTTGATGGCCAGCGTCAGCCAGTTGAGCTATGTGCACAAGACTTCCAATCCCTTCCCTAGAGCCTTCCAGCAGTGCCCAAGAGTGTTTTCTTTCGGGCTCTGTAGAGCTTTGCTGATATCTAGCAGGCTGCTTGTCTGGCTCTGTGCCTCTTGTTAGGCCTGTTTGGTTCTTTCTATTCCTTGACTGTGCATTCCTAGTATTGAGTTTGGGAGTGTGGGGACAGAGATCATGGAAACCCTGGCTCCTCTCAGCAGTCCTGGATATCTCGAGGTCAGTCTTTGTGGGTACTTGCTGAAAAAAATCACACTTTCCCCTGCTCCCCAATCCATGGCAGGCCCTACTGCCAGAAATGTGTGCAGGGGCTAGCCTTGTTTTTAACTGGGCGATGAACATGTTTGGGTATTTTCTGTAATACAGTACTCTGTTCTGGTGCAGACTGCTCTGTAGGGACCTGAGGGCAGAGAGCACTTAGAAACTCAATTTAATTTTCCTGTCAGCTGCTGTTGCTGTAAGTTCACTTTCTGCTCCTCTCCTTCCAGTTTGAGCTTGCTGAGTGATCTGAAAGACCTGAACAGGAGAGAGCGAGCAGAGCTGAGGAGACGAACTATCCTGCTGCTGTACTACCTGTTGAGATCTCCTTTCTATGACCGATACTCAGAGTAAGGGGCCCTGTTGAGCTTTTGCTGAGAATTTCCCTTTGAACAGAAATAGCATCAGGGGACTGGGTGAGCAGATCTGAAGAGGTCTGGGTGCCTGTGACCAGGTTAATACAAGCCCCTTGCCTAACTCCTGCTGTCACTGTTAACGTGTTCAACAGCTGGGATGGGAGATGTCCCACTGAGCTCATTCATACTCTTTCCCTTACTAGGGCAAGGATCCTCTTCCTCCTGCGTTTGTTGGCTGATTACGTGCCTGGACTTGGCTTTGTCACACGTAAGTGGGACCCATTGCTTTGTCCCTGTTCCCTGTAGATGAAGAAAAATCATGGGAGTTGAGTAGAATATTTGTTGAGGAGCTTCTGACCTGAAAAAGGAATTGGGATGTCCCTAGGATGGTTAGCTTCACTGTACCTTGTATTGGTACTGGAGTTGCTTTAAGATGGACCAGAAAAAGATTGCAACCTGTAGTCAACCACAGTGGTAGACTTCTAGATTCCCTCACAGGCTGCAGAGGTTTGTCCCTGCCACCTATGCCTGTTCCCTTGGGCTGCCTTTCTGCAACTACAGTACAGCACCAGAGCCCTGCTTCTGAATCCTTTTCCTTGATCCCCAGTCTGCAATACAGATGTGAGGGATAGCTGTCAAGAGGTATTAACCCCACTAAGAGCATATTATAAACCAAAAGCCCCAAAATCAGAAACCAAAATCAGGTCTGTTTTCTCCTAGTCCTTCACACAAAGATCCCTTTTTTATGGGCCAGATTTTCACCTACCCCTCTTCCCTGATGATGTCAAACTGTTTCTGGAGTAGTTCATGGCACTGATATGGAATTAGATTGGATTGTGGAACTGTCCTTTCTTTGAGGAAGACACAAAGCTGGCTAACTCAGAAGGCACTCCTCCAGTTAATGATTGCAGAGAGGCTTTGAAATGCAGCCTTTCTCTCTGCATTAAACCTTGTGCCAGCATAAGCATTTTTTGCTATACAGCACTTGCTTTTGTGTTTGCACCTGCTCATTACTGCTGAGCAGTCTCTCTTTGCTGTGTCCTGTTGACTCACTGCATGCAGGTTTTTCCCTTGGTCATTGTCAACGTCCCTTCCCACCAGAACCCAGGTGTGTCAGCACTGAGAGAGAGGTTTCCCACATCATGCCTGTGTTGACCATGTTTCACGCATTCCTTGGTCCTGCTCTAAACTCTGTCACTACATCCCAAAGTTGCCTCCCACCTTGGCAAAAATAACTATTCTGTTCATGGGTTTCTTAGTTTTGAAAGGGGAGGTCTGGAACTGCTGGGTATCATAACTTGGAGCGGGTACTGGCACCATTTGTGTACATCTTTTGATCTTTGCCTTTCTAAATGTGCGATGTCTCTGTTCTCTCATTTCAGGGCCACTGATGGATTACTTGCCTGCCTGGCAGAAAATCTATTTCTATAACTGGGGCTGATGAGAAGATTAAGATTTTTATTTGCTAAGATCAGGGATGGTTGTTTCTAGGGAGGGCTGGGAGAAGGCATGTTGATTATATCTAATTTTCAGTTAAACCATCAATGAGAAGCTCCTGTTCTGCAGGGCGGGGAGGGGATGTAAATAATTTTTTAACAGATCTGGCTGTGAATGATGGACACTACGTGTGTGGAGAGACCTTGGCCACCTCTTTCTATGAACTGTTGTGGCTGCAGTGAGAGTGACGGGACAACCTTTTTTAAGCACTTGATTTTTCTCCTTTTTTATGGCTGCACTACACTAAAGCCAGGCAGCGTAGAGATTTTTGGAGAGCATAGTCTCCCACTTTGTGGCTTTGAGACTGACCTGCAGCCTGCTTGTGTTGGCCATGCCTGGCCGATCTGCTTGGAGCGGGCTTGTCTTTCAAATAAACTGACTGAAAGAACTGAGCTGAAGGAGCTCTTTTCCCTTGCTTACAAAGGATCCCCTTTGATTTGGGTTGCCAACAGTTCTCTCTATCAGGAAGAGCAGTTTTTGCAGTTGTCTAGCCTGGGATATGCTGGTCCCATTTCTGTATCGTCCTTTAGAAGCCTTTTGCTCTGGCCTAATTGGGCAGAGCCCTGCATGTTGCTTAGCTGATGGCTGTGTCTGTAACTCCAGGTGCCTGCCTGGTTCAGTCCCAAGTTTCCTGGGGTTCATCTTGAGGCTAGGAGAGCTGCACTTTGTAGGCTGCTTTCTAGTACCCTATGCATACTAAATAGGATTGCAGAATGGCTGCCATCCGGTCCTTAGGGACTTGGCCAAGGGCAGAGAAGAGAACTGAAGGATTGAGCAAATACTGCTGTGCAGCATTTAATAAAGGGTCTAGCTGAGGTCTGGACAGCTATGGCCATATTCATTATCACCTCTGCTCATGTAAGACATCAGTTTAGCTAGTCACCCAGAACAGGGTGTAGCCAGCCCCTGGCACTGGGCTGCCTGGAGAGCAGCAGCTCACCTGTGCACCCAACTCTGGGAGCCAGAAACCTGCCAGTGGTGCCACCTGGTTCTGACCAATGGTGAATTGGCCATGTGAGTGACAGCAGTCCTACCTAAACCATTCTCAGGGGCCTCCCAGGATACAGGAGTCACAGCCCTCTTCCCCTACCCCAGTTTGACTGCTAAGGTGAGGTGCATCCCCTTACTAGGCCATGTAGTAAGGGGACCTAGGGCTTGGTACTGCATGGCATCTGTGTTACCACCACATGGCAAAATGAAAGTCATGAACTGAGTGAACTGTGCTCCATTCATTTGGGAATTTGAAAAGGAGGGAGTGCAAGAAGATAAAGCCTAGAAAGAAGAGAACCAAAAAAGAAATTCTTTACTGTGAGGGTGGTGAGACAGTGGAACAGGTTGTCCCGTGAGGTTGTGGATGCCTCCTCCCTGGAAGCATTCAAGGCCAGGCTGGATGGGGCTTTGAGCAACCTGGTCTAGAGGGAGGTGTCCCTGCCTACTGGAGGGGGGGGGTGGAACTACATGATCTTAAAGGTCCCTTCCAACCCAAACCATTCTATGATTCTAAGTACAGGAGAGGAAAAGTTCTTGGGCTACCTGGTGGTTCCTCTGTGACCTCAGTGCAGAATGTGACAGTGGTGGGTACCAGAGCTCAGCATGCAGTGCTGGCTCTTGCTGCTCACTGTGCTACTGGGGGCTGTGCTCCCTCTGCCCCTGCGCCAAAGGTGATGACTCCCCCACCTCTTCCCTGCCCCAGTACCTGCAGTGGTGCCACAGGGGCTGGATGCTCCTTCTTCTGTAACCAGTGCTCCTGGACCAGGCTTGTAGTGTTGATGGGGAGTTCTGGAGAGCTTCGGGCTCATTCCCACCTCTGGTTTTCCTCTGCAGCTATTTTGTCCCTGAAGACTTCTCTGCCCCCTTAGAACTCCCACAGCAGCACTTTGGCTTGGTGGATGGTACAGCTCTTCCCTTAAATTCCCTCCCATGTGCTCATTTGTCCAGTGATGACACAGACAGCTCCTGAGCCCTCACCCCACTGTCTACCCACAGATTATGGCATTAAACCAAAACAGCCTCACTTCAGGACCGTAACACCCCGGGAACAGCCAGCAGGACTGCAGAGGGCTGGCAAAACCAAACGTGATGAGCTTGACTTGGAGTACTACTATGATGCCCAGCTGTGAGGGACAGCAGGGCACTCAGGTAGGTGTGGGGTGCAGGAACAAGGGCTCTCCAGCCACACTGCAGGATAGGAGAAGCTGGAGGAGCTGGGGTTTCTCAGCCTGAAAAAGAGAAGGCTGAGAAGGGATATTATTGCTGTCTTCAACAACCTAATGGCAAATACAGGGAAGCTTTAGCCAGAGTCCTCCTGGCACTGTAAATGGAAAAACAAGAATTAAGTTACATCAAGATCTTATGGTAGTCTCTGACCTCCAAGGTTTGCTAACCTGAGAAACTCCAGCTCCTTTTGGGCTCCCCAAGGGAAGGAATAAGCCAGGGCCCAAATGCACCCAACACAAACAGCACTGCAGCCCTGCTCCATGAACCATCATATTTAATAGTTGCCATCACAGCAGATCCAGCTGAAGCACAGAGACCGCTGGCAGGGAGCAGGAGAGCTTTTGTATGTCCCTGGAGATGTGTATGGCTCCCTGCAGGCGTTAGCCCTTCCCTGCTCTGTTTCTGGCAGGCACCCCAGTCTGCACAGGGCTGAGAACCACCGCAGTAGGGAAGCTCAGCCCTGTCCTGCCTCTGCCACCTGCAGCTGGAGGGGATAGAGGGGGACAAGGACAGAGAAATGCTCCCTTCCCCATGGTGTGGTCACTGCAGAGAGGTAGGAGGAAATCTTCCTTTCCCCAGGGCGTGGATACAAGAGAGGAGGGATGGGGGCAGAGGCAGGGGTGAGCTGTCTCAGCTTGTTCATCCTTTTTCTGGCACTCAAAGAGGAGATGCTGGGCTCTATCCCTCCTGTCCAGCAGCCTCATCCCCGGGGCCAGGCAGAGAAGTGATGGTCTCTGCCCTGGCAGGAGCCATCATACAGTTCTTGTTGGCTGTAGCTTCTGTGTCTTCATCCTGCAAGAGTCTGACTCCGCCAGCGCATTAGAAGTCACCCCTGAGGGATGTGACGGGAAGCTGAGCCATGGTCACAGCGAGGAGATGTTTTCACCCCAGCTTGCATCAGGGAAGGGCTGGAGAATGCCAACCCCTCCAGCAATCACAGACTGGGCAGCCAGTGGGCACTTCTCAAATAGAATAAACTAAGTATTTTGTACGATAAACACGATTTGTCCAGCCCTCCCCCCTCCCGTCACCCCCAGCCTGAGGAAGGGGAGCCATGAAAAGAGGCAGCACAGGGTCCAGGGAACAGCTCTCAGGGCCCACTTCTCTTCCAATCTCAAAGCAGCTCTTGTCCATGCACGACGCAGAAGGGGCGAGACTGCAGCCCTGGCTGTGCAGCAGGTGCCTATGCCAGCCCCTACTCCAGGTAGATGTCTTCCGTGGGGCACGTGTACTCCACATACTCCTTGTAGAATTGCTGAAAAGCCCTCCTGCAACACAGCATGGAGCAAAGCTCAACTGTACCCTCCCCATAGCGTTTACAGAGCCCATTTTGCTTCCCTTCTCGCCCTTGCTCCATCCTGCTGTCAAGTCAAACCCAGATCCAGCTCTGGGAGCCTCATGCATTAGTGCCCAGAGGTGCTGCTGGAACAAGGCCTCCATCTCAGCTCTGAGCTTCCACACAGCCCCTGGGTTTCAGCCATCTGCCTGCAAAGCTTTGCACTGGGACTTGTTCCAGCACTGTCAGGAATATGCTGCCCATAGCAGCGTCAGCTCTGGCTCTATCCCTGAGCCTCTCACTGTAGGGAAGAGGTGCCAGGTTCTTGTTCCTCCTGTCCCTCAGGAGGGAGCACCTTCCTCCCACCCCAGGACTTACCCTACAGACTCCGCTAGAGGCTTCGTGGACTCCTCTGAGACAAAGACGTGGCAGGCAAATCTGTGGTCAGCAGGATGCTTGGTAATGAACCCAAAATATCTGAGGGTGAACAGAGCAAGTGAGATTGGATTGGCAGACAGGCAGAAATAAATACACGTGCCCGCCCTTGGCAAAGGGGTTTGGGATTCAAACCCCAGCAGTGAACACTTCCCAGGCCCATATCAGGGATGTAATTCCCACCCAAAGGCTGCTCCTCACATGAAGCTGTGGGATGATGATGCTGGGAGCAAGAAAGCAGTGATGCCTCCATGTGTTAAAGCACTGATAGCTGCCCCATCTTCCTGCTACTCACTTGTTGTTCTTTGGATGGTATCCACAAAAGGAAATGTTCTTCAGCTGGAAAAAATGGCTACACTTGTTTACCTGGGGAACAGATAAAAGAACAGTCAAAGCTTTCTTCCTCAGCAGTTCTGTGGGACAGTTGGACTCCAGCTTTAGAAATAGGCGCTCAGGCTGAGCCCAGCTCTCCAAACAGTACCCACAGCCACGCTCCCGTACCCCACCCACAGGGGAGGTTTCCAAAAGCTTGCTGGGAAGGTTCACTTGCCTCTGCCCAGCATCTTGCTGTGCTCTGTTAGGCTTCTTATGGAGACCACTAATCAGCAGCTTGCAATGCCCAGCTAAAGAGATTACAGGGAAGATCTGGAGGACACCACTCTAAATAGCAGCAGAAAGGTTTAGGAACAGCTGACGGATTAGGGGTGCAGCTCAGCTCAAAGCATCCTAGCACAGCAACATGCCTGGCATCTGTGAGGGCACCATTCTGATGTATAGCCCAATGCTGGGATCTCACTAGGCTTCAGGGACCTCAATGGAGGACCTACAACCCTTTAGATGGTATTTCTAGAGGAACAAAGAGCACAAGGGATGGAAGCCCTTAATTTCTATGTGAACATGCGTGGGGGCACCAGCAAGCTCAGAGTAGCAACAGTAGAAGGGATAAGGTGAGTAGGGCACTACCTTGCTGTGCTCCTTGGAGTCATCAGCTTTCACAGCTATCTTGACCCCACGCACGCTGATCTCCAAAACACAGCTGGAGGGTGGGTTAAAGTGCACAGTGAGGCGGCGCGTGGTGGCAATCTGGGAAGGGAGACACAGACATAAATCACTGGCACTCACAGGCAGCATGCGAAGATGGCCCACCCCTTCCCATCTCCTCCCTGCTCCCAGGCAGGCTCAGCCCGCAGTGGGACACTACCTTTTGCATGGCCGCGCACAGTACATCATTGCCTTTGTGATAGGGAACCTGCACCGAGCCGAGGAACTTCACCCGAAACTGGTCCACCCAGTCGTTGCTCTTGGCCAGAGCTAGAAGACAGAGCATATGGCAAGGATCACCTCTGTTGGCCATCTCCATGTTTCCATGGTGCAAACCTGCACCATTCCCCATCCGGCAATGGGTGCAAGCTCTGACCACTACTGGCCGGAGCTGCCCACGGCCACGTTATTCCTTGCCTAGTGTCCTCCTTCCACCCCCTGTTCCGTGGTGAGGACGTGGGCAGGAGATCAGGGACATAAGCAGTACGGAGGCTTGGTACCTGTTATATGGTCTGGGTCTTTGGTGACTTCGATAGCGTAGTAGGCAGGAAAAATGCCCCGATCCCCTGTCCGCATGTTGTAGGCCTCGTACCAATAATCTTCTGCCTGCACCTCCACCAGCAAAGGGTCATCCACCTCCAGCTCCAGCTCGTCCGCGTGGCGAGGCACAAACCTGGGCAGGGAGTCACTAGCACTGTGCTGGCTGGCAGCTCTGGTGGCATGCTCACCGACACACCTCTGGAGCAAGGGCAGTGCAAGGCCTGCGGCCGGTGCAGCTGGGGAGCAGGTGGAAGGAGCTAAGATCTGATGTGCTAAATAGAGACCTGAGTGGGTTCAGGCTCAAAAGGAGACAGTACCTGGCACTAATGCGAGGTTTCCCCTATGGCATCCCCCATGTGGCTCCCAGTGCTCCTGGGTGCCCTGGGAGGTCTCTCACCCTTGGGAAGATGTTGCCCAGCCACTGCCTGGCTCCTGCTGGGCCTACTACCAGCCTAAGGACTGTGGTTTAGTTCACAGGCTTCCCATGCTAGAAACTACGTGGTTTGGGTAGGACCAGAGGACACTGCTTGTGCCCTGCACTCACCTGAAAACAGCACGGTGAGTCTGTTCCTGCTCCTCACCATTGATCATGCAAGAGAACAACCCAAAGGACTCAGCACCTGGGGAGGAAGGTAGAGGGGCATGCTGCAGCTTTGAGGGGTCAGCACCACACACAGGGAAGGACAAGACCCTCAGCTCACGCCTCACGGCCTTAGCTAAGGTTGCGCTGTCTTGGCCGTACCTCACACTAGACAAAAAAAAACAACAGCTTGACAACTCCAGCTACCCTTGCCTAAAGCTCACAAAGCTTTTCCAGCCGACCCCTCCCTAATCACAAGGGAAGAGGTCACAGGCTGTAGGACCAGCGCCTGCTGAAGCTTCTCCATCTCATGGGAGGCCCTGCAGGGCACCCTGGGCTGGGCAAGCTGGTACCAGGGCTAAGCAAGGCTGCCTGGGGACACAACCCCCAGCCCACATCCTCCCCCCGCCCAGCACTCACTGGAGGAGCGTGCCCGGCCACTCATGAAGACGTTGAGGAACTTCTTGGAGAAGTGGATGTCTGCCTCGGGGGTGGAGTCCTCTGAGAGGCAGACCGAGTCGCGCTTCAGAGCATCCTCCTCATACTCCTCACCGATGGCTGACTCATAGGCTGAGGAGACGCAGTTGTCATAGACAGTAGCCGAGTCACTCTCATCACTGTAGCCCGAGTAGCACTGCTTGAGGCTGACCAGCTCCAGCTGCACGTTCTCATCCACCACCAGCGTGTACTTGACCGAGTCATAGGAGAGGGCGCTGGTGTCTGAGCTGACGGATGCTCTCTGAAGGCCATGGCCTGGCCGGTAGCCACTGCTCCCACCACCGCAGGAGGCCCGGGGTAGGCTCGTCTTGTCAGGAGAGGACATGTAGTCCAGCACCTCATCCTCCTCACTGATGGAGGGGTTGGTTTTCCCAGCCAGGGCTGAGTAGCTGGAGGTGTCGATGTCAGAGCTGATAGACATGCGGTTCTCACTGGACTGTGACAGGAACGGCTTTTCGGTCTCCAGCGGGTCCGAGTTCTTCTGCACGGGTGTCAGGTAGATCTCCTCAGTGGCCTCCAGCCTCACGTCTGTCTGGTAGCGGATGCGGTCCCGGTGGGCCTCGGGGGCCCTCGACGTCACCACCACCACGCTGGCACCGTGGGGTGGGGGTCGGCTGGCAGCCTGGTGCTTCTCGGGGGGCCGGGATGAGGCAACACAGGCAGGTGCCATCTGAGTGGCTGCCGTGCGCCGGCACGGGCTTTCTGTGGATGTGCCCCGGTCTTTGGTGGAGGTTGTGCTGTTCTGGTGATTGACCTCATCACTCAGGCAAACATGGTCATGAGGAGGGGTCTGCTCACCTGTGAGGAGAAGAGCAGTGTTGGTGTTCCCACTGATAGGGACACCCCAGGCTCAAGCTGGACACGTGCCCACTGGGGACATTTTTCCAACCTTCTGTTTCAGCAAGGTTTGCTCCAGGCCCTGGGACAGGGATCGACTCCTAGGAAGTACCAAGGAATGCAAGCATCTGCTCTCAGACAACTTACCTGTTTTCAGAGGGGATGATGACCGGGACACCCGCTCTTGCCAACTGTGCTTTTTCCCCAGAGAGTTGTTATTCAGGGTGTCCTGAGGAGGAGAACAAAGCCGCCTTGTCACCCGTGCAGTAAACAGCACGTGGCGCCTGTCCCTGCCCGCCCCACAGCATGGGCAGCAGCCAGAGCCATCATGGCCCCTGGGCAATGCCTGGGACCGCCCAAGAGCTTCTTCAGGGTCACTGTGACCATCCTCATGCGCAGCCAGGGCACGTTTTGCTCCCAGACTTTGCAGATGGTTCTGGGGACAGCATGGGTCTTAGTCTCTCTGCAGCAGTCGCATTTTCTGCGCTGCTAGTTTTTGCTCAAGCACCAAGCTTGGGATTCTTGGGGTTTTCTCCTGCAGCCATCAAAAGCAGCACAGGAGCTGCCCTGCTCTTCCAATCAACATGAAGCAATCCTCCGCCTTAAAGCCCACTAAGATTCATGGGATTCCCTGTCCTGTCCTGGAGCACAGGGACTTTGCGTTCCTGCTGCCAGCCTTATCAGACCCTGTGTGGAAAAGCTCCTGTCCTCAAGGTCATCAGCACAGCCCATGCCCATGGCTCCCAGTGTGCCCACAGTCTCCACCATCCCCTACA